AAGCAAAGCACATGTTTTGCATGAAGAAGATTCCAGTTCATAGAATCACAGAATTGTAGAATTGCAGAGTTGAAAGGGACCCCAAGCGTCACCTAATCCAACCCCCTGCAATGAAGGAATCTCAGCTAAAGCATACCTTTTGACATCTCTAATTAGGAAGCACAAGCACTTAAGACCTTTGTAGCACTTCAATGCTCTTCCCGGGAGGTCTACCTGCTACCAACTTTGTCATAATTTCAGCACTAGGTAAATATCTATTTGTTTTCCTGGGCATCTGAGCAGCACCAATAGTTGAAGGATTACCGGTATATTCCAACTATGTTTCTAACAAGGGACGCGGGTGGTGCTGTGGGTTAAATCACAGACCCTAGGACTTGCTGATCAAAAGGTTGGCGGTTCGAATCCCCGCTACGGGGTGAGCTCCCGTTGCTCGGTCCCTGCTCCTGCCAACCTAGCAGGTCGAAACCATGTCAAAGTGCAAGTAGATAAATAGGTACCACTCCGGCGGGAAAGTAAATGGCGTTTCCGTGCGCTGCTCTGGTTCGCCAGAATGACCCTGGCCACATGACCCGGAAGCTGTATGCCGGCTCCCTCGGCCAGTAAAGCGAGATGAACATCACTACCCCAGAGTCAGCCATGACTGGACCTAATGGTCAGGGGTCCCTTTACCTTTATGTTTCTAACATGCCTATTTGTTTTTATTATTGCATTTTTACTGTGGGTGTAAATTGCTTCCAGACTTTACGTACTGGGAAGCAATACATTAATTTAACAAACCTAATCCTAAATTTTTGTACGGCACAGTTATTAGTGTTTGAGTGACGCAAACCTCTCTTCTTTTTGCAAATGGCATACTGAGTCCAGAAGATCTTGCTTGCAAGCCCAGTTAATGCTTTGCTATCCATGCAGGAAATATTGGGTGGTATTCAACCACGTTTTACTCAGTGTTGTCCCGTTGACGTTAATAGACCCAACTAAGTCATGCCAATCAATTCCAATGGGTCTACTTTGAGTAAAACTTAGCTGACTATTACACTAAATATGTGTCATGTACTTTTGTTACTTTCTTTTAAGGCGACATCATATTGATCATTCAGAGTCTTCTGTCCTCTTTGCCTTTTTCCACTTGGCAAGACTCCAGCAGCCAGGAAAGAAAACCACTTATTGATTGCTTGTTCCTGAATGCATGACCTGGCTCTTTGTGCTACTAGATGTCACAATGCTCCTTTTACTCTAGAACACATAGTCACCCATTTTATCCTGGATTATTTACTGATGAGAACCTGAAGGTAGCACAGGATAAAATGAATGTTTTCCACCATCAGTTTTGATCAACACGCCTCCACTGCCATCATTAGCAAAAATATTTTGCAAGGTATGTTGCAAGACTGAATGGGTTGCATCCCACTCCTGTTACAAGATTGCCTGAGATGACTGGTATTATAAATATAATGACACAAAAGTGGAGTGGAAGCCACCTAAACGGAGCTGATATCTGTAATAATTGGTACTGGCACAAATGTCAGTCCACTGCCAACCTGATATAAAGTTGCATCGGTGGCTGAATGCTGACTATTCAGTCTGCAAAGAAATTTTCTGTTCACTCTAATTAAACTGGATAAAGAAATTCATGAGCTGTTTCTGGATCATTGCTTCTCTTACTTTAATGGAAATCAATGAAAAATAAGTAGGCTTTCTGAAGAGGAAGTGAAAGCGCATTCTCAGGCACAGGGAAAACAAAGCATGACCATTGTTCAATTGGACTGGAAGGTAGCGGTATAAATACACATAATGTAGAGGGTTGTTAAAGCCACCAAACTCTGCATGGTGTTTGGGTGACATTTGAGTGGCAACTATATTCGGAATACTTGGCCTTATCTTAGTTGCACGTGGCTGGATTTTTATTTACGTATTTCTGGGACTGTAAAAAAAATGAGCTGTGTCTGCACTCGTTTGAAATGAGCTCTCTCATTTAATGTTCGTTTATGCAGCTGCAGTAATGGAAAAATAGCACTCGGTATTACATTATCCTGAGTCCAGTCCATTAATACTAAGAAAATTAGAAGAGCCCAACAGCATAGGGCTATTGCACTCAGGTCCTGTTTCCAGGTTTCTCATCAGCATCTCGTTGCTGGATTAGATGGGCCTGTTGGTTGACCACAAACTTGACATGAGCCAACAGTGTGACGCGGCAGCTAAAAAAGCCAATGCAATTCTGGGCTGCATCAATAGGAGTATAGCATCTAGATCAAGGGAAGTAATAGTGCCACTGTATTCTGCTCTGGTCAGACCTCACCTGGAGTACTGTGTCCAGTTCTGGGCACCACAGTTCAAGAAGGACACTGACAAACTGGAACGTGTCCAGAGGAGGGCAACCAAAATGGTCAAAGGCCTGGAAACGATGCCTTATGAGGAACGGCTAAGGGAGCTGGGCATGTTTAGCCTGGAGAAGAGGAGGTTAAGGGGTGATATGATAGCCATGTTCAAATATATAAAAGGATGTCACATAGAGGAGGGAGAAAGGTTGTTTTCTGCTGCTCCAGAGAAGCGGACACGGAGCAATGGATCCAAACTACAAGAAAGAAGATTCCACCTAATCATTAGGAAGAACTTCCTGACAGTAAGAGCTGTTCGACAGTGGAATTTGCTGCCAAGGAGTGTGGTGGAGTCTCCTTCTTTGGAGGTCCTTAAGCAGAGGCTTAACAACCATATGTCAGGAGTGCTCTGATGGTGTTTCCTGCTTGGCAGGGGGTTGGACTCGATGGCCCTTCTGGTCTCTTCCAACTCTATGATTCTATGATTCTATGGTCTGATCCAGAAGCGCTGTTCTTATGCAGTTAAAAATTATTCTGAACAATAAATAATCATAACCTCAACGTGGGTCTTGCTGTCACACATTTTCATAACTTAAGTTTAATACACTTTTAAAATCCTTTCTCAGTCTTTTATTTAACAACTACACCGCCATCAACAAATTGATTGAATGTATAAGCTGTTCTGAGCCCACATAATAGGCTTTTTATCTATATAATTTCCCCCTGCAAGGTGTCTGCCACAGGATGCAAACCACATGAATAAAACATGGAAGCGTTGGCTTCACTGAGATATAGACCTGCAGATTGGTGATGGTTGAAGATATCAACACTGAATTTGTTTGCCAGTCCCATGGAAAATCTTCCTGTGGAAGAGTTGAATGTTGGGTTTCATCCTAAGCGCCTGGTGTGCCAATATTTACACACACACATGGTCTGCCAATGAATGAATTATACTTCATATGCTACTGTACATACATGAACCTTCAAGAGAATTTCATCTGGCAGGACATGCAGCAAACCTCCAGGTGAACTAGACCTCCCAATCACATTTCTGACTTATCTGGATTGACCCCTCAGTTTATTTACTTCCCGCCCCCTACACACTCTCTCTCTCTCTCTCTCTCTCTCTCTCTCACACACACACACACACAGCCTTATCACAGAATCATAGAGTTGGTAGGGACCCAAGGGTTGTCTAGTCCAACCCCTTGCAATGTCTTCAAGTACTTATTTAAGGAATTCACCTTAAATAATTCACCTGGATTAGATGTAAAAGAGAAAGGGAACTTGGCGTTATCAATAATAACAATAACAATAACAATAATAATAATAAATTATTTATACCCCGCCCATCTAGCTGGGTTGCCCCAGCAACTCTGGGCGGCTTCCAGCCAAATATCAAAAACAATACAGCATCAGACATTAAAACTTCCCTAAACAGGGCCGCCTTCAGTTGCCTTTTAACAGTGAAATAGTTGTTTATTGCCTTGACATCTTCTGGGAGGGCATTCCACAGGGCAGGTGCCACTACCGAGAAGGCCCTCTGCCTGGTTCCCTGTTACCTCACTTCTCATGGTGAGGGAACCACCAGAAGGCCCTTGGTGCTGGACCTCAGTGTCCAGGCTGGACGATGGGGGTGGAGACGCTCCATCAGTATTCTGACAGTACCATACTCAGAGGACTCTGTCCCAGGAATGAAAAAATGGAAAGGCACAGCAGCCCCACAGGACAAATCCCACGGGGTGGAGCAGGCACCTCCCAGCATCAACACCAGGGTTTGGAACCTGCCTTTTAGTCAGGATGGGAAGCGCTGTCTAAATGTTAAACCTAGCCAAGTGATTCAGAAGGGAGCCACGGTCAATGGCAACTTTTCCCAATCTGTTTTGGACTATGGCTCTCAGCATTCCTGACCATTGGCCATGCTGGCTGGGGCTGACGGGAGCTGTACTTGAAAGATGTCAGGTTGGGGAAGGTTGGTCACCAGTAGCAAAATTGGCCAATAAATCTTTGCCGCACTCCAGCTTCTAAAAATGTTATATAAGGACATGGTTGAATTTGAGGCTACCATAGCTTTACCCCCCACCCCAACCCAGTCGGTGTAATTTACATAATATGCAAATTAGGAGAGTTAATTACACAATTTGGGTGTGCTAAATTAGCTTGCCTTATTTGCATAATTCCCAGCCAGCATTATCCCTCTTCTTACCACATGCTGAACGCAGCAGGGGAGGGAGCAATAGGAGGTCTTAAGTGTCTCTTACAGCTGCTAGAAGGAAAGGTCTACTCACACCAGGTTTACTCTCAAGCTGTATCCATGCTTTCTGGTGACATTTTGCCCCACCTGTGTACTTCTGCCTTCTCTCTCTGGCCTCAAATCAGTGTCTATGAAATTCCAGCACCTCAGCTCCTGGGCTTGGTATCTTGGTACAAAGTAGTTATTCTCCTCTACGGTTATTCTCCTCAGTTATTGAACTCCAAATCCATAGAGGTGCATTTGTCTTCTAGAGTAGCATTTTTCTCACCACCAGTTAAAAGCACACTTGCTTGAGCCTGTGAGGAAGAGTGACTCAGGCTCAGGTTTTTTTTTATCCCTGGCCTCCTTTGGAGGAAGGGTGGGGTAAAAATAGAAAATTATAGAAAATTATAGTCTTCCCCATCTCAAACATGCATGCTGAGGAGGTTGACTGGAGGATGGCTCAGTCAGTAGAGCATGAGACTCTTAATCACAGGGACATGGGTTCAAGACCCAGATTGGGCAAAAGACTTCTACATTGCAGGGGGTTGGACTAGATGATCCTTGGGATCTCTTCCAACTTTACAATTTTATGATCCTATATGACTCCCCACTTGAATGTACACCGTGGCTGGGGGTTGCATTTAAGTCTTGTTAAAACCCTTTTTTTAAAAAAAAGGTATACATTAGTTACAGCTTCCACACAAGCACCAGCAAAGACGCTGCCTCAGTCTGAATTTGCTCCTTACGGCAATCCACCAGCTTTACTAGTTACTTGAAAGCTTTCAAATCGGCCCAGGAAATGAGAAGCCTTCATTTAATTCGGCAGACATGGTGTTCTGGCTGCTTGGTTGTTTGTGCCCGTAAGCCAAAGTGTTACGCTCGGTGCCTTGGTATCCAGCTAATTCCCGAATCTTGGTCATGTTGGCAAAAAAGACGACCTAATATAAATTATATGTTCCCGGGAGGGTCCTCTGCACATCTTCCAGCACACCCTGTGAAACTCTTTTCCGGGAAGGTTTAATAGGTTATGCCACCTGACATTTTATGTTGTCAATCATTGTGCCTCGTTACAATTTATAAAGCAGCGCTCGACATGAAGGATTTTGAAGCACTCTGCAAATTAGAGCAGTCTCCAAATGGCCAGGGATGCCACACCAGCCAAGCCAGCTGCATCTCCTTCCCAGGAGCTAACCAGGCTCACCTCAGTGTCAAGTCAGCCATAGCCAGCAGGAACGCTGCAGGCTTCTTTCCAGAGCTGAAGCTCCAGCCTTTCCCCTTTCTGCCCCCCTCAGCCATATGGCACAGAGTCAGCTACCACCTTCCTGTCCGGGCCATCTCACAGTTTACTGTGCTGGCATATTATCTGCTGCACTTGCAACATTGCTTGCTGTGGGGAAATACGCAAAGTCTGAAGGGATGTGCCTCTCTATATAGTCAAAGGCCGTGTGGTTGTGGAAGGATGAGGAGAGCAGGGTTGGCCAAGACCAGGGCTGCTTTTCAACATTGTTATGCACCACCAGCGAAACATTGCAATGAAGGGATATATCATGATGTCTGAAAATGAGGAGAAAAGAAGACTTCAAAGCCATTTGAACTGGCTCAGTACAGTAGCCAGCAAGCCCTCCACAGCCATTCCTCCTTTGGAGGAAAACTGGGACGTTCGCAGGGAAACCAAAATGCTTGTTTACAAAACTATTGTACTACCAATCATACTGTATGCTTGTGAAACAAGGACCACTTATAAACGCCATCTCCAACTCCTTCAAAATTTTTTACATATCACTTGGGAAGACAGGTGAACTAATGTCGGTGTACTGGAAGAAGCAAATATCACCAGTGTTGAAACAATGGTTCTTCAACATCAGCTTTGTTGGACTGTTCATGTTGTTCGAATGCCTGATGACCGTCTTCCAAAGCAACTACTCTATTCCCAACTTAAGAATGGAAGGTGTAATGCCGGTGGACAACGAAAGAGCGTTAAAGACACTCTCAAGGCAAAGCTTAAAAAATGTAGTATAAACACTGACAACTGGGAAACAATGGCCTGCGAGCGCTCCAGTTAGAGAATAGTCTCTACCAAGAGCTTTGAAGAAGCACTAACTCAGGACAAAAAGGAGAAACAAGCTAAGAGTAAGGCACATTTGGCAAATCCTCACCATGATTAACTCCTGCCCTGAAACCTATGTCCCCACTTTGGAAGGATGTGCAGGTCCAGAATTGGCCTCCGCAGTCACCTATGGGCACACTGTTAAGACCATATTCATGGAAGACAAATTTACTTGGCTACAAGTGATTGCCAAAGAAGAAGAAGAAGCAACTGTACCAATGGGACAGCATACACCAACAGCATTGCCTCACCTCGGTACCTCTTGCCACCCCCAAGCAGACACACCAACTCCCTGACTTACCCCATGGCCTTTGCTGCCTCGTGGTACACCCAACAGCACCACAGTCAGTCCCACTACCTCCATCTTTGGGGCAGGGGCTTGAGGGGAAACAGACACCACTACCAACACCACCAATCCACCATGGTTCAGCATGGAGATGAGGTAGAAGAGCCAGAACTGATACTGATACTGATCCCCATGTGCTCCCACCGCAGGGACTCGCAGGACACAGTCATGTCTCCACTTCCCGGTGCCTGGCGGAAAGTGGGCTCTGGCCCACTTCCTTGGCCAGAGAAGCAATGGTGACACCTGCTGGAAATGGCAGTATATTGCCTGGCTTAAAATGGTGAAATCGTGACCATGGTGCAGCTTTTGAAGCCAGTTTTGGGCAATGAATCAATACATTGCCCAGGCCTGACCAAGACCCCAGGAACTGTTGCTGGTTGGAGCCAGCAGTACCAGGTTCGACTGAGGTGGCATTCACAAGACCGTTCATTCCATTTTCATGACTTCCCCCTAACTGCTAACTTCTGTGTTATATTTCAGCTTTCAGGTGATGTGAAAGCCGCTTCTGGAACCATAGTGGTATATAGTGCCAATTTAGTGCTCACTTCTGTGTTATTTGTTTCCAGAAAAAAATACAGTGGTACCTCGGAAGTGGTACTGTTCTGGAAGACCGTTCAACTTCTGAAATGTTCAAGTTCTGAGGCGTGGCTTCCGACTGGCTAACAGCTAGGTTTTTGTACAGTGGAAGCCGCGTTGAACGTTTGTGTTCTGAGGAATGTTCAAAAACTGCAGCACTTACTTCCAGGTTTTTGGCGTTTGGGAGCCGAAACGTTTGAGCCGTTTGAGTTCTGAGGTACCACTGTACAGGGGACTCCCCACTGATGTGAGGGTTACATTCCAGGTCCATGTGTACGTGGGGACTCACATCAGAATAAGGAACTAGGGTGATTTCTTCTTCTTTTACACCAAAAATTTCAGAGCTCTTCTGAACCCTACCTAACAAATAGTAACCCATACTGTACCTTTGCCTCCAAATCACCAGAAAGGGCAGGGGGCAGCAAGAGCTCCTTTTGCACCATAATTGTTTTGTTTTTACAGCCGTTAAAACTTATTTGGGCTCCGGGGAGGGAATCCTCATGAGCCATGAGGCCTTTCCAACTCTCTCCCACCATTTCAAAGTTTGAATTGATTTAAATTTATTTATTTCCCGGAGCCACACATATACGCAGTCACACACATAAGTGTGTGTGGGTGCCTGTAATATGGAAATGGGCGCTAAACTTGCCCTGTGTTCCCCTATAATTTCACTGTGTAGCTCTGGAAGTGGCTTTTACATTGTGTGAAATCTCAAATATAATGCAGAAGTTAACAGGTCATGAAAATGGAATGAGCTGCCATGTGAATGCAGCCCTAGATCAGGAATTGGGGATATTTTTTTTCAGCTGGAGGGCTACATTCCCTTCTGGGCAGCTGTCCAGGGCCCACATGCCTGCGGTGGGCAAGGCTAGAGGCCAACGTTGGCAGAGCAAGAAGAGTGAGTCTTATCTTTGTCTAGTAGGCTAGTTCCTACGCACAGTGGACAGTCAGTTGACTCTGGAAAGCTTCAGAGGAGGACGTGAGAGTGATAAGCATCTCCTAATATTTTGCAGCAACTGGCAAGCTGCCTTCGATCCTAGAGACAGAATGAAACCATCATGCTTAGGAGCCACTGATAGACTTATTCTCCATGAACTCTCCTTTAAGACTGTCCAAGTTGGTGGCTGTTGCTACATCCCGTGGAACCAATTTCCACAGTTTGACTATGCGCCCTCAGAAGTAGTGATTCTTTTTGTCTGCGCTGAATCTCACACTGTTCAGCTTCACTGAATGACCCCCTAGGTTCTAGTACTAGGAGAGAGGGAGGAAAACAATCTTTTATCTATTCTCTTTCTCTGAACCGTGCATAAATTCATATACACCTCCATCGTGTCCCTTGTTTGCACATCTTTTTTCTCCCCCCCCTTCTAAACACTCCAATTGTTGCCACCTTCCGCCATGCAGGGAGTCTTTCCAGCCCCCACGTCATTTCGCTTGCCCTTTTCCAGCTCTACAATTGCCATTCAAAAGAGAGAGACAACATTAGACTTCAGCATTCATGAACCTGGATTTATACCTCGTTCAATCTGTCAATGTTTATAGCTTTTTCAGCAGCTGCCATCTGCAAAACAAGAAACACTCTTTTCTGCCACTTAAGATTTATACATTCTTGCAAAACCGGGCTTCGCTATGGTGACAAGCTATAGGTAAACAATGAAGAGAGAGAGGGGGAGAAGTTGTTTTCACTCCCTGATGATGATGAGAATTGTCTGGCATGGAGAATTACACTGAGCTGTTCCAAGAATAGATGTTCCTATGATCCTCTGCCTGCCGGATGCGGTTGTCTGCAAAATGGAAAGTATCCCTGCTGCCTTCTCTTAACGCGTATTGCAGAATTGACTTGAAAAGCTTCTAAGCTGAAGTGGTGGTGGTGGGTTTCTTTGGCCTTCCTTATATCAGCTCCAAACAACCCTTTTTAAAGGTTTGCAGAGCTGGTTTCCTTTGGAAACCAATTTCAAAAACAGTAGTAATTTCACTATCATGCATCATGAGGATCCATATTTTTATTGCTTTGGATAACTTGGCATGGAGCAGAAGCTGCCTGGCAGATTGCCACAAAATCCTGACTGCAAAGATTTAACAGTTTTGTACTATGTTTTTTTATTCTAGTTGGTATTACAAATGTCATGGCTTTTAAAAACAACAGCGGCACTACTGCAAACTTCCCTGAGGCAAAAAAAATCTGAATGAATAATAAATAATAAAAATGAAAAGATAGACATGCTGAAAATGTTCTAAACTGTCTAGACAGGATTGGTCAAAGGCACCATTTCCCAAACTCGGGTCTCCACCTGTTTTTGGACTACAACTCCTATCATCCCTAGCCAGCAGGACCAGTGGTCAGGGATAATGGGAATTGTAGTCCAATATCAGTTGGAGACCCAAGTTTGGGAAACCCTGGTCTGTGGGAATTGGCCACCCAAGGCTATGATAATTCAGTTCCTCTCTGGGGGATCTTTTAACTGCTCAAGAAAAAAAGGTGAAGCAGAGACATGA